ATATAATTGCGGAATATGGTTGGATTGACATGTTAATTAAAGTTGGCAGACAACTTAATAAGGCAGATAGAGATAATTTAACTGTAATTGCTAAAAAATTGAAAAAATTGGGTGCAACACATGGTGCAGCTGAAATTTTCAGTCGTTTGGGAGATGATCCTGATGTAGCAGATGTTTTAGTGGAAGCTCAAGCTTGGCCAGAGGCGTTTGAATTAGCTGAAAGAAATCCTAAATTAAAAGCTCGAATATATGGACCATATGCTAGATGGTTGGGAGAGACTGGTCATTTTTCTGAAGCACAAGAAGGTGAATGGAAAGAAATGTTATTTACAATACTTCATTAGTATGAAGATAAAATTTTATCAAGATTAATATATGTCATTTTAACATTTAGAACATGAAGAAAAAATTATTCATAATTTGCCTGCATTATATTTGTATGAAATACTACTATTAATTAAAAATATTTACATAGTTTTTTAGCATTTCAGATAGCTGGACAATCAGATGAATCTGTAATGGTTTTGTTAATGTTAGCCAGAAATGCTGCTATCGAGAAGAGATTTCGCGATGCTTCTTATTTTTATTGGCTTCTTTCTCAAATTAGTTTAAATCTTAACAAAACCACTAATGAATTACAAAAAATATTTTTGCAATATTATGAAAAAGCTGAAGTTTATTATGCTTATCACGAAGTGCACAAATATGTGGTAAGTAATTGTCATGTGTACGATATTGTTTAAGATGTATTTTAGCGAACATAACTTATACAGCAACCTAATATTAAAAATGTAAGTAATTTGCTTGTATCTATTCATTATATCTGAAGTGAAAAAAGAATTATTTTAAACAAGTAATTTCATTAAAAACTCTAAACAGTGTTAGAAAACATAATTAGTCAGTGGAGTATAATACTAAAATGAATTTAAATATAACATACAAATTAAATATAACGTATTACAACACTAATAACGTAATAATTTATGTTTAGGAAGAACCGTTCACGTCATTGATGCCAGAAGCTCTTTTCAACATTGCACGATTTCTGTTAATCAGAACTGAAAATATTCAAGTTGAAGGGATTTCAAGATTTTCCATAATGTATACGTTATTAAAACAAGCTACTCTTCTTGGCGCTAATAAATTAACTATGCAATTATTTGAAAAACTACGTAAAACAAAAATTCCAACAAGTCAGCTTAGCCAATTAGAAATTTCAAATTTAATTGCTCGAGCTTCTTCTTATAGAGATCCTGAAGAACTTCTACCTCTTTGTTATAAATGTTCAACTTTTAATCCTTTGTTATCACCCAATAATCAAGGGCAATGTGTGCAATGTGGATTAACATTTCAATATTCTTTTGTAATGTTTGGTAAGTTACACTACTATTAGATTATTTATAAAAATTTTAAAAAGTGTCACGTTAAAAATTATACATAATATTATATTACACAATATGTATCTACTTTGAAGATACAAGAATTTTAATAATACATGTTTAAGTTTTTAAAGTTTTAAAATAATTTGTATGTTATATTTGTTTTATCCACTGTATCTCAAAAGATATTCATATTAATAAATGATTACTGAAGGTACGAAAAGATATTGTAATATATTTCTTGAAATTGCAGAAATTCTACCATTGGTTGAATTTGAATTAGAAGAAAATATTTCGGATGAAGAAGCAGAAAAACTAATAAATGAATCATTATCTTTGTCTACTGATATGACAGATACTAATCAATTTACCATTACACCTGAAATAGATCTTTTTACTGCACGTTTAATGAAATATGAGGTATGAGTAATTTTATTAAGTATATAATTTTAGGGATTGAAAATCTAATTAATAAAGATAAAGATAATAAACTTTATTTTGATAATTTTGATTACCTCTTCTTCAATTATTAACATCTTATTTGAGTATTATATGTTTATAATGTTTAATTATAATAGATTTAAATTGATGATATTTATTCATTGTAGGAGAAATCTAATACCTCTACTATAGTTGTAGGGAGAAATATTTTAAAAAATATGGATCCATATACTGTACTAATTATAAAGTGGCCGAAACCATTCAAAACAAAATATTTCAAAAATCTTTTACCTGACTTGCAAATTACATTTTGTAAATCTTGT